CAAATGCAAGGATTATTATATTAAAATATTGTATATTATTTAAATGCGCATGGACTCCTACAGTGATATTTAGTGAATTACTGGCTTTAATTCATTTGTGCACATTGATAATTGATATTTCGGGGTTTTTTTTGCCTATAAATTTAACTCCGCAATGAAATAACCTATAAACTGAGATCTCTTTTGTAATGTACATTAAAAAGTCTGAATAATGCTGGTTGGTAAAGTAGATTCATTGAGTGATTTTTACCTCTGCGATCAGATTGCAGCATTAGGAATGAAAGCATTGTCATTCTCTCTGATGCTGTAAGGGTTTGGAAACGATTGGAGTTTAAGCAGCCTCATTCTAGGTCTATATTGGGCGTGAACCCGCAGCCCCAATCATGTCCATAATTCAATGTTCGCTCACAGGTTGCAGAAGCTGTGGGGGAGTGGGGAATCGAATATCCTGCTGGTACATGGGGAGTGCCTTGTTCAGGGTTTAGAGCTGTATCCTGCATCTGATCCATACTATAATAATCATCCTCGCATTTGATTATCACGTCTTCGAGACATCGCAAAGTACTTCGCAGAATATACTGCAAAGTGAATTAACTGTATAATGTTGTGGGCGAAACGCGGCAGCCAATTGTAACGTGGGAGTGTTCGATCCTGCCTGACGGCAGGTGGAAAGTATTCATGCCTTCATCTGCTCAGAATAAAATCCACCCCGAAAAAGTATCTACTGCAATAAAATCTACCGCACAATGTCACAGACTACAGTAACCAAGGCAACATTTTGTTCGCCGGCTTTGACAGTGTACTATTCCTGACTACGGCAAGGCTGAGCTCACACTACCCCACATGCAACATGAGCGTTCTGTCTTGAAGGAGAAATAGCAAACTGATAAAAACGCCCAGGCATTTAAAAACACTGTATGTAACAAATCAAGCTACTCGTGACCCTCTAAACTCAATTAATGCAATTCCCACTAAATATAAAGGCTGCAAAAATATGTATCAGATATTACATTGTACATAAATCAGGACGATTGCTCGGTGCCACACCACAGTGTTGCTGTACGCTGCGGTGTGCAAAAATGGCAGCGGGTTTGTGCCTGTGATTTTTAGTAATTTATTTCCCTCAATTCTGCAACGACCTATGAGACTGAAGTCCTGACCCCTCTGTCTGCTCAGGTGGACGTTAGGAATATAGGAACAGGAGGAGGCCATTCAGCCCCTCGAGCCTGTTCCACCATTCTATACGATCATGGCTGATCTATATCTCAACTCCAGTTACCCGCCCTTGCCCTGTATCCCTTGATACCTAACAAATATTTATCCACCTCAATCTTGAAAATTTTAAACAATAGAGGTATTAGGGGACATGGGCATAGGGCAGGTAATTAGAATTAGGTCAGAAGATCAGCCATGATCTTATCGAATGGCGGGGCACAGGCTCGAGGGGCCGAATGGCCTACTCCTGTTCCTAATTCTTATGTTCTTATGATCCAGTATCCAGTATCCAGCCATATCCTTATAACATCCTTATAAATCTACACTGTACTCCCCAATTCTACAATATCTTTCTGTAAAATGGCAACTAGAAGTGTGCGTAGTACTCCAGATGTGATCTAACCAAGGTTTTATACAAATTTCAACATGGCTTTCCAACTTATGTACTTGGGACCTGAACCTTCATAACTCACTAGTTCCCAAAGAGCTGGTGAATTATGAGCCTGTTGCATTTGTGAAATCCTAGCAGTAATGTACAATCATTAAGGCAATGCACCATGTTACATGACCTGCACAAATCACTATTTCGCATTAGTGAAACCTATTTGGAGACCCATTCCATTGTTTAGGTTCCATCTGCTGGCATAATGAAATGCCATTAAATGAAATGTTGTATACCTGTTTGAAAAGGCAAGTAGAATTCCTGCACTAATTCAGCTGAGGGGTGAAATTTGGGACAGGTGTAGGCCATTTAGCCCGTCCCACCTGCTCTGCTGTTGTCTTAGATCATGGTTGATCTGGAACTCAGTAGAATTTTGCTTGCTTTTCCTTCATACTCCCTGATAGCCTTACTAGCCAAGTATTTATCTACGTCCCTCTTAAATCTTCCCTGCATTAAACTCTGCATCCACAGTACTTTCCAGGAAGATAAGAGTGTTCTGTTTGTTCATTCATTTATATTCAAATCAATGATTTAACTGCCATTTAAGAGATGTTTCACACCTTGTGAAAATGCTATAATTGGAATATTTCTTGAGCTATGGTTTTTTTTTGCTTCCCTGTCTTGCAGTCTCTTTCGCACTCTGATTTTTGTGTACATTTCAAACAAAAATTGTCGCTGACACCTGAATTTAGCTTCCCGGAGCTGCTCTAGATAACGTAATCCCTATAGATTACCGACATTCTTTCATTTTAAAAATACTATTATTCAATGTTCCCATTTGAAGATGAAAATGGATTTTAATAAAATTGGGGTGTGGTCGTGGGCAGAGATATTACACCTCCATCTCCTGTAATGGTACCTTCTTGACATATGGTGATTGCTTTCTGATTGAAACATTATTATTTCGACATTTTGCACCCTGGCGCTTGTTACTGTGGCACCTGTTTTATTTGTGGTGCAGCATTAAATTTATTCCCTTTTTCAGTACAACTAGTGGATCATTTCAACCCTTTACAACTTCTTTCCTTCCCCCTTTCATTTCCCCCATGATGATAATAATAATAATCCTTGCATTTGATACAGCGCCTTATCATGTCGTTGAGACGTCCCAAAGCGCTTCACAGAATATACTGTAAAGTGGAGTGACTGTGTATTTTGTGGGTGAAGCTTATATTAGCTACAACCATAGCTAATGAATACATAGCAATTGAGAATTTGAGGAAAACCATTAACAATTACATTTTTGTCAAATTATCACGTTTTGATCATCTTTGGTGCAAATGTGCTTGAAACGGTGGCTCAATGAAACCTTTTTTTCCAGTAGTAAATCATTGGGTTTTATTTTACTCTGATTGTTTAAAAAAATATTTATTCTTGCTGTGTCTTGTGGAATGGAATTTCCCATTATACATGATGACTGTTCAGTGATCAGCTTACGGTAACTTCCTCCCCCGCCCATCCCCATTGTCGCAAGCATTTCTGTCCTCTTTCAAGCTGTGCCCTTTGCTTGAAAAAGGAATGGCGCAAAAGATGGAACGTGGGAGGGAAGAGAGGAGGACCTGGGTGGTCCCAGTGGTTTACATGATACATTTACCTCAAGAAACCACCTTCAACTTCAACTCAGTCTGATGGACTCAGTCTCTTCTCAGCTGAACACATTTAGAATTAAGTTTGGCAGCCTTAACCTGGCTCTTGGTGGTTGCAGGTCTGTAATATAGAACTGCCCATATTACTGTACAAATTGGCGATCTCAAAGTGGTTGGTAGAATGGTTAGTGGATGACCTCAACATTGATGCTTTTGAGGGTGAGTTCAAAGAATGTTGAAATCGAGGAAGAGCGTTTAGTCAACAACAACAACAATTTGCATTTATATAGCGCCCTCACGCTATAGTGTCCTAGAGTGCTTGACAGTGGTGGAGCACGATGCCGAGCCGGAGGGAGGGAGGAGGTGACTGTTGGCCCAGTCGAAGAGGAAGGTCTTCAGGTCTTCAGATAATCAGTGTCTGTCCTTTGCTACACCTGAGCCAGGAATGCGTTATCCTTGCATGGAGTTCCAAAACTTCCTGAGCTGCCACATCCTCTCTCCCTTTGAGCACAATTTCTGCTATTTTGGTTACTTCCAGGTTTATGACACAATCTAGATTTATTTAATATCAGCTGTACCCGCTGCAGCTTCACTTGCAACCAAAGGATCCAATATGGAATGTAGGTTGACGCACAGATAGACATTTCGTCTTCATCTTTACACAGCTGCGAGGACTCAGTGGGAGGACTCCTTTTGGCTCGGCAATCGGTTATTGGGTTCTTGGTGGATAGACACGCAGATTGTCTTTATTAGTATTGATGTCAACCTAATTTTAATCATAAAATGCAGCTTTTTATTTGGCCCTGTGTAATGTCTCAAGTTCTTAGTATTCAAATGTAGAAATCTACAAAGACTCGCACAATTGAATATAATTCCACTAATGCAGTAAATGGAAGTCAAAACAGCAGGAAAATATCAAGTGATTTGGTTCCCTTTTTTTTGCAACTATCACAAAATGCAGAATTTATTCCTGGTTGAACACTTGACATCATACGTTTCACACAGCACAGAGCTGATTTCATTTTGATTACGATTCGCCCACAAAATATCCAGTCAATTAATTCACTTTACAGTATATCCCATGACGTACTTTGAGACGTACCAAATGCAAGGATTATTATTATTACTGTGCTGAATGCGGTAACACTAAGGGTGGAGCAAATACCAAATAGCTGATGGTGGGCGAAACCATACAAAAAGCCGGGGATGATTATTCAATCATATACAGTATGTGTGTCACCCATAAACCCTCACCTTAAAGTCCACCAGGAATTTGCCTACATTCTGATGTTTTGCATTTGGCAATTGTGTAGTTGTTGGGTGGTTCATCTGTAACTCTATTATATTATCTGCAACTTTATCCCACACAGTGCTTTGGGTGGCTCTAATGCTCGTCTATTTGTGTTTTTTGGGGTTGTTAAAAAATGTTCTTAATTCCAGCACCTCTCTTAGTTTTTTTTAAATACTGTATATATGTTGTGGTTTTTTTTTCCAGATCTGCAAATTTGGTGGGAATGCAGGAGTAACTATAACAAGCCAGGACAGGCAGTCAGAGACTGAGTGAGGCGGTGGTTGACACACACTCACACTCACTCATTTTTTATTTTAAGCTTTTTTTTGTGAGTGAGTGAGAGTGTGTGTGAGTGAGTGTGTGTGAGTGAGTAAGTGTGAGTGAGTGTGAGAGTGTGAGTGAGTGAGTGTGAGTGTGTGAGAGAGAGTGTGAGTGTGTGAGAGAGTGAGTGTGTGTGTGAGTGAGAGTGCGTGTGTGTGTGTGAGACTTGGGTAGACTATGTATGGAAGTTCCAGGGTGGTGGGCCATGTGGATGGCAGTCCATCACGATCTCCGCGGCTACCCCGATCTCCTCGCCTGGGTCACAGAAGGACCAACAGTGGGGGAACTGGTGGCACGGGCAAGACCTTGTCCATGGAGAACATCCAATCGCTGAACGCAGCCTACGCCACGTCGGGACCCATGTACCTGAGTGACCACGAAGGGGTGGCCTCCTCCAGCTTCCCCAAAGGCACCATGACCCTGGGCAGGGCCACCAACAGAGCCACTTACGGGGGTCGTGTCACAGCCATGGGGAGCAGCCCCAATATCGCCTCAGTCGGACTCCCTCCAGGGGGTGACGTCCTGACCTTCAGTGACCAGCACAGCGGTCCCTCCTCTCACCATCATCACCAACAGCACCACCACCATCATCATCATCAAGTGCCCTCCTCCCTCAGGCAACACCAGGTGCGGGACATCACCATGAGTGAGCTCCAGGCGCAGTTCAAGGAGGTGCAGAGAGAGAACGAGTTACTCCGCAAGGAGCTGGAGGTGAAAGAGACCAAGTTAGGCTCGTCCATGAACAGCATCAAGACCTTCTGGAGCCCTGAGCTGAAGAAGGAGCGAGTGCTGAGGAAGGAGGAGGCAGCCAGGATGGCAGTGTTCAAGGAGCAAATGAGAGTGTCTCACGAAGAGAACCAGGTACCAGTCATTTTCGTTGTTTCATCCCTCTCTCTCTCTCTCTCTCTCATCCAGAGACTTTTTTTTCTAATATATATGTACAGAGACAGAGGAAACAGGAAGACTACTCTTTCTCTCTCTCTCTCTGGCAGCAACACTGAGGAGGATGCAAAGCAAAGCATTGAGTTTAGATTGACACAAGCTGAAGCTCTCAGCGCTCCCTCCCCCCCTCCTCCCCGCCCTCTCTCTGTATCTCTGTCTCTCTGGGGAGGAAGCAGCATCCGAAATGGACATAAGCTCACAGTTGTACTTTAGCCATGAAATATACACACACACACTGGGGAAAATGCGCACACACACACACCGGGGAAAATGCGCACATACACACTGGGTCTCAATGGCTCTAGGTTACAGAATGCATTGATTCTGCACTGTCAGTGTGGACAGCCTGTGCACACATCTGATTTAAACGTTAAAGAAAAAGTGACCCACCCTCCTACAGATCACACAGTATTTATATTGTTGGAAATAACGTATGTGTATAGTGTATAAACAGCATGTCTCATTGACAGGCCCTTGTTTATGTTACCGTTCCCTGTGTTGGTGGGAAACCTTCTGTACGTGTCACTGGTTTACGCACCTTTTTTTAAAAAAATTATCTGAAATCACATAAAGTTTGATATACATCAGATGTTTCAGTCGTTTAACATGAAATGTGGATTTGATCAGAAGCAGTGACGGTGTGAAGTGTGTGCAGTTCATTGCAAGCCTGAAAAACTATACAGTACTTATAATAATATAATAACCCTTGCATTTCAGAGAGCTATTGGACTTTATTCAACAATCCAAAGATGCTATTTTCCACTGTCTTATCACCTCCTCCGCGCACCCACTCAAGCCCCTCAATCCTCACGTCAAATGCCAAGTGTCAAGAGGTCCTAGACTTCTTTGCCTCGAAAATTGAAAACATCCACTTGGCTGCATTGTCCTCTCCCCACTCCCCAACATGTCCCCTTCCGCCCCACCCAGACCATCCACACCGCCTTCTCCCTCCTCCACGACTCCTGCCGCTCCCCCTTCCTTACACTCCTTTGCCCCCATTTCTCCCTCCTCCACCTCAACCAAATTCACCCGGGTGAAGTTCACCACCTGCCGCTTCGATCCCCTCCCCATCCAGCTGCTGGTCACTCAACTCCCCCTCCTCTCCCCCTGCCGGCCGACATGGTCAACCAGTCTCTCTCCTCAGGCTCTGTTCCACTCCCCATGAAAACTGCTGTCATCACATCCCTCCTCAAAAACCCCACCCTCGATCCCTCTAATCTCTCACACTACCGTCCCCTCCAACCTGCCCTTCTTTTCCAATGTCCTAGAATGCATTGTTGCAGGTCAACTTCGGTCACACCTCTCCCCCCACTCCTTCCTTGAGCCCCTGCAGTCTGGTTTTCACCCTGACTGCCCATAGCACAGAGACAGCGCTTGTCAATGTCACAAATGACATTTTCTCTGTGACCAGGGCCCCCTCTGCCTCCTTGTCCTCCTGGAGCTCTCTACCGCTTTTGACACAGTCGACCACGCCATCCTCCTCCATTGCCTCTCCTCCCTCATCCACCTTAGTGGCTCAGCAAATGGTTTCTCCTCCCGCCTGGTCATCCCAGGGCTCCATCCGTGACCCTCTTCTTTATCTATATGCTCCCTCTGGGTGATGTCATCTGCAGACACCGGGTAAACTTTCACATGTTTGTGGATGAGACACAAATCTACTTTGCCTCCAGCACCAACCCCAGGTCCCTGATGTTCCATCAGCTTGTCTGGCAGACATTGAGGCCTGGATGCGTGTAAACTTCCTGCAGCTGAATATGGACAAGACAGAAGCCATACTCCTTGGCTCCCGTCAACCCATTCACTCCTGTGGGATCTAAACTGCTCAACTTTCCTAGGCTCTCCCTCAGACTCACCAAACCAGTGCGGAACCTAGGCGTCCCGTTCAACCCCCAACTGTCCTCCCTCCCCCACATTCGGTCCCTGACCAGGACCACCTTCCTCCACCTCCCTCCCTTTCCGAACTCCTCACTTCCCAATCCACCACCCGGCTCCTCCGCTCGACCGGCACCGGCTTCTACACATCCCTCGCATCCTCCGCTCCACCATTGGAGGTCGCGCTTTCAGCCACTACGCCCCGAAACTCTGTAACACTTTTCCTCAATCCCTCGCCTTGCCCCCTCTCTCCCTCTTTCAAATCCCGCCTGAAGACTTTCCTGTTTGACCGTGCTTATGGCCACTTCCCCCTCCCGCTGGCTGGGAGTCAGGCTCCGGCACTGTTAAGCGCTCTGAGACGCCACCCTGAGTGGAGGGCGCTATATAAGTACAAGCTCTCTCCTTTCTTCCCTCTTTTGTTCTCTCTCTGTGTTTTGGTTCAGAACAATAAATAGGTACGTACACCAACTCAGTGACCTCGTCAGAAATTAACTAATCTGTATTGTTTACAGGTCATCAGTAGTTGAATGAGACAAATGTAAAGGTGTAATGATAATCTCTCTTATTCACAACAGTGGATCCCTGATATATCAGTACATAGACATTTCTGAACTTGTACGTAATTAACATTTCTTGACATACAGTGCGAGCAGCTTATAACACGCCTCCCCTCTCCCTCCCTAATTAATTACAGGTATTCCAATAGGAGCTGAAGTCTGGAACTGTCTACATGTTATTATGGTTGTAACCTTCAGAATTCATCTGATCCTGAACAGATATGACAACAGGTTGTGGTTCTGTATTTAAAGTCTTGATACTACACGTGATTTGTTAGGTGATAACAATGCTGTTTTATATATAGTATGTAGTATCTGTTAGTTACTGTAATGGTGAGAACCGCTTAAGATCACTGCCTGTGACTCCGAGGAGAAAATAAATTCAGCTGTAAAGATTGTAGAGGCAAATTTAATAATGTTCTTATTTAGCTGCTGGGACAAAATTGTCTCCATCAAAAGGTACATCTGCTTGACTCAGCGATGTTGTGAAGCGACTGACTTAACTCTTTCGATTTCTGACAGGTTATAGAAACTCCCAACTCCCTTGAACCTACCAGGTTTGCAAATGCGACACCGGAAAAAAATGTAAAGGGTATTAGAGCAGGAATAAAGTTATTCAAGAAGGATAGCTATATTACCTTGTTAATTAACTTAAGAGCAACAAAACTAAAGGCAACTTAAAATGTTACTCATACTGCTGTCACTCTTCTCCATTCCCTATTCTCTCCTCGTCATTTTATTTTCTAACCTTTGACAAAAAGAAAAATGTTTGGCCTTTCTGCTGTCTCCTACTCTCACCATTCATTTTGCAGATGGAACCAATTGTTTTTATATAGTAGTTTTTTAAAAAATATATATAATACAATGTCTTTATCATTGATTGAAAACCATCCCAGGGGCTAGTTTTGCAGCTAATGAGAATTGCAGGCCTGAACCCTTGCCTGGGATGATCATTTCCTTGACAGGTCCCTCAAGAGATGGGAGTCAAGATGGTATTGATAGAGATAAACCTGGCCAAATTTGAATCTGCCACCTAAGGAACTCCTACGCTGAGCTCAAACTGAGATTAGCACCCACTAAATCAGATTTATTCTTCATTTCCCAACTGTTCCAACCACTGAATTAATCGCTGCTACTTTCCTACAATGCGAGCATTCATGGAATCTAGATCTCTTCCCTCAAGGCAGCAATCTGGCAGATATTCTTGTGCAATTTTAAAATGCCATTTTTAAGAACTTCTCCAGACCATTGCATGTTTAGGGGATTCACTGCTGTTTTCGTATTTAGAAGTTGCTTGAAGCTAAAATAATTTAGAAAGGAATCCACTGATACAATGCGAATATCTTTCCATCTCTATGGAGGTTCAATTACATTTTTTTTTGCTTCCTCCACAAATCGTTTCCCATCTGCAGTTATCCTAATATTGCAAAGTGGAACTAGAGCCACACAATCCTCACCCTTGAATCTGACAGATGTACATTGTTGACCGAGAGTAAATAGTTCTGTGGTGTGTTAAGGCTTTGGTGCAACATACATTAAGGTGGTTTAACGGTATGCTTGCAGTTCAGTTATATCCAACAAAAGAAGTACATGAACCAGGCTTGTAGTTTCAGCCCCCCTCACACCCCCACTCCCACACCCCCCCATCCCCTTCCCCGGTGGTTTCTGGCTGCTGCTCGGGGTTACTGTGACTGTTCTTGTAATTATATTGTTAACCTAGCAGTTGGGATGAAGCTCTAGTGTGTTCTCTCTCAGCGCCTGGTCTCTGGATTTGCTGTTTGAGGTGGTGCGTGTCTCCCACTAGCTCTTTGTGTTGCTGTAGCCTTGCCATTGCGGGTGCAATGTCAGTCACTGGGTTACTGGGTCACTCCTGTACTGTTACGCTTCCACAATATGACGGTGTTTATGATGGTCACCCATTCATCTGCTTTGAACAGTGTCTTGATTTGTTCGGTTCTTCAGAATGATCCTCACTGCATCACTATTCTTCTGGTGTGGTCCTGTGAGGGCTGCAGTGCAGATGTACAATCTCAGAAAGCCTAAATGTCTGTAGATTACTTATTAACGTTCTGCCAGTGCTAGAGTAAGCCTCTGGATTTTAAACCCAGCACCTTGAACAACACTGCACCCAGAATATCCTTAAAAAAACCGTCCTGCTTTTGACCACTGGCTTCCGCGATTCGCCCACAGAATATACAGTCAATTCACTTTACAGTAGATCCTATGAAACGCTTTTGAGACGTCTCGAAAACATTATAAGGCGCTGTATCAAATGCAAGTGTTATGGTAGGAGATATTCTCTTGAATTGCCAATGCATTCAAGAAGTGTTTAGACCACTTGATGCAAAAGAGTCAGTGACGGATGCTTTCTTTACCCACAGTTGGTTTAATTTATTTGCAGATTTGATGTTAAATTCATGCTGTGTTCTCTTGGGTTCATAAAACTAGAAGAGGACAGATGACTTTCAATTTGCACCTACATTACAACAT